AAAAAAAACCCAGGCGTTTTATAATATGTGCATTCAATGCGAAACATTGTGAGTAATCATTGATATATACATAAGTTATTGTGCAAGCAGATCTTCGAACTATCATTTTTTAAGCGTCTTAACGATTGCGGAGAAGTGAATAAGAATAAAATGTTTTTCAAATGTAGCGAAAGATGCAATATAACACGAAATCAGGCCAACAGACTAACTCAAATTGCTAGCCGTACATTTCGTCAGTGGGCAAACATAGAGTAATCAAAGTTACCACTTATATTGTAGAAGTCTTTGGATTTTTTCTGCACAAATATGTTACGAGGATATAAAATTTGAGCATTAGAACGTAACTAGGCTCTATACTCATTACCTTGGTTTATAGGTGAGGGTATACCAGTAACGTTTGCCCTCGTCCAAATATAGAGGTGGACACCATCTCAATAGCACCGAATCAGCTGTCGCATGAGACACTGAGAGATTCCGTGGACATTCAGGAGGATCTGAAGTAAAAATATTTTTGACTTAAGCCTATTTGAGTGCCAGTGTACCTGGTTGTAGGACAGGTGCTTTTGTGAGATGTTTCAATGCTGGAATTAGTGGTAGAGGCATTTACATGGGGTATATGCTTGAAGGATATGACTTACCCTGTGGTAATCAAACTATTCCCTTACCTGTTAATCGAATATGATGCAGTGCAGTGACTGTTTCAAAAAGTTTTCGCATCGCCTCTCTTTTCATCGCTTCAATTCGTCTTTGCTGAACCTCCTTCAGCCAAGAGAGTGGGTCCTCAAATGTTAGGTTGACTCAAAACTTCGTTTTATAAAATATTTTTTCTAATATCAGCTATTTTCATCATTATACCATTTGAAAGAGAAGGCGATGTCTATTTTTCCACAGAACAAGATTGTCCCACCTTTATCTATGAGAATTAGTCAATCAAAATTCGCATTTGTGGTATCGCGTTATAACCAAGATAGGGATTTTAAGGATATGCTGGAAAGGTCAAAGATAAACCGTTGGAGAGCGCTGAAACTACTGAGGTTCACACTAAGAAACTTTAGAATGTGACCAAAACTACGCTTCAAACCCGTTTGAGTAGAAAGAACTATTTTGGGCTTACACGCAGTCTGCGAACTGTTTTAGCAAAAAAAAACTTCTTTCCCTAAAAAAGCATTTTAGTTAGGAAATGTTTCTTTGCCGTTGTATTTCGAACATTGTTCTGTCTAATCACTTTTGTTTGGTATATGCGAACCATTGGCTAAATTTAGAAAATTGCATATTGATTGATTACACTTCAGGAAGTT